ATAAACGAGAAAATATGGCTCTTTCACAGTAAAAAACAAATTTGACAGAAAGTATCTCAGAGGAAGACTAGATGTTGAAATTATGAATCAAAGATATTAATCAATTATATTAAATATGCTCACAAGGCTAAAGGATCAATGGACAAAGAACTGAAGGAATTAGGAGAATGATGAAGAAATAGGAAATGTCAATAAAGAGATGAAAATTACAAAAAAGGAACCAAATAGAAATTCTAGAAATAAAAAGTATAATAGCTAAAATGAAAATTTCATTAGAGGGGTTCAATACAGATTTGGAGAAGGAGAAGAAAAAGTAAGTGAACCTGAAGATAAGGCAGTTTAAATTACCCAGTGTGAGGAGCAAAACGAATAAAAGAAACATGAACAGAACCAAAGAGATCTGTGGAAAACCATCAAACATACCAAAACACACATTATAGTAATCTTAAGAGAAAGTGGCAGAAAAAAAATATTTGAAGAAATCATGTTTGAAATTTCCCAAACTTGATAAAAGACATGAATCTACACGTCCAGGAATCTCAAACTTCAAGCAGGATAATCTCAAAAAGATTCACATAGAGATACATTAAATTTAAATTGTCAAAAGACAAAAACAGATGGTTGAAAGCAGCAAGAAAAGCAACTCAACAGATATGTCACCCTCACCATGATTAAGAGTTGATTTTTAATCAGAAACCATAGATATCAGAAGAGAGTGGGATGATTTAAAGCTCCGAAAGAAAACACTGTTAACCAACAACTGTATATTTGGCAAAACTAGCCTTCAATAGTAAAGGAAAAATTAAGACAGTCTCAATAAACAGAAGTTAAGGGAGTTTGTTACTGGTAGACATGCCCTACAAGAAATGTCAAATTTCAGCCCTTCAAGCTTAAATGGAGGATGCTGAATAGTAACTTGAAATCATATGAAGAAATAAAGAACAATGGTAAAGATAACTATATAGGTAAATATAAAAGCCAGTATTAATGTACTTTTGGTTTGTAACTCTTTTCCTGTATGATTTAAAATTCAAATAAATAAAATAATAATTGTAAATCAATGTTAATATGAACACAATAAATAAAGATCTAATCTGTGACAATAACAATATCAAAGAGAGAGTGGTAGAAATACATAGCAGCAGTGTTTTTATGCTATTAAAACTAAATTGGAATTACTCAAACTAGATTGTTACAAGTTTTAAATGTAAGTTGAAATCCCTAAGGTAGCCATGAAGGAAAAACACAAAAAAAATACAGAAAAGTAGAATATTAAAATGGTAACACACACACACGCACGCACACACACAAACACACACACACACACAACACAAAATAATGCAGTAAAAAAGGAACTGAGGAACAAAATATGCAATACCTATAGAAACAAATAGCTAAAATGCAAAAGCAGGTCCTTCCTTATCAGTAATTACTTCAAAGGTAAATGTATTAAATTCTCCAATTAAAAGGCAAAAGGGATAACAAAAATATGATCCACTTGTGTGCTGTCTAGGAGAGACCAGCTTTAGATACAAAAACACAATCTGTTGAAAGAAAAAGGATGGAAAGCAATATTCCATGTAAATAGTAACTGAGTATTCCAATAATCATATAAAACAAGTCAAAACTGTTACAAGACGCAAAAAAGAACATTATATATTGATAAAAGGGTCAATTCATCAAGAAGCTATAACAGGTAGAAACATACGTATCTAATAAGAGAGCCCCAAAATATATAAAGCAAAAAATAGAATTAAAGGGAGAAATAGATAGTTCTACAATTGTAGTAGGAGACTTCGACACTCATTTTCAATGACAGAATGAGTAGGCAGATTAACAAGGCAATAGAAGACTTGAACAATACCATTAATCAATTAGACCTAACACATATACAGAACACTCCACTGAAAAGAACATACTTCTCAAGCGAATAGGGCATTCTCTAGGCTGGAGCATATATCTGGCCACAAGAAGTCTTAATTCACTTAGAAAGATTGAAATCACACAAAGTATCCTTTTCAATCACAATGGAATGAAACTAGAAATCAGTAATAGAAGGAAAACTGGAAAACTCACAAATATGTGGAAATTAAACATAACACTCAACCAACTAATGGGTCAAAAAAGAAATCACAAGGAAAATTAGAAAATACAACAAAATGAAAACACAACATAGCAAAACTTATGGGATACAGCAAAAACAGTGCTCAGAAGAAAATTTATTACAGTAAATGTCTGTTTAATAAAACTCTTAATAACCTAAATGTACACCTTAGGAAATTAGAAAAAGAACAGCAAACTAAACCCAAAGGTAGGAGAAGGAAGGAAAAACTAAAGATTAGGGTGGAAATGAAATAGAGACTAGAAAAACAGAGAAAGTCAACAAAATTAAGTTGATTCTTTGAAAAGATATACAAAATTGACAAACCTTTAGCCAGACTAAGAGGCGACTCAAATTACTAAAATCATGAAATATTAAGAAAATTGTTACTGATTTCAGAGAAATAAAAAGGATTACAACAGGATAGTATGAAGAACTGCACACCGACAAACAACCTAGATAAAATGGACGAATACCTAGAAACATACAAGAAAATTCAAGAAGAAACAGCTATCACAAGTAAGGAGACTAAATTAGTAATCAAAATCCTCCCAACACAGAAAGGCCCAGGACTAGATAGTGAAATCTACCAAACATTTAAAGAATTAACACCAATTCTTCTCAAACACATCCAAAAAATTGAAGAGGAGGGAACACTTCTTAATTCATTCTATGAGGCCAGTATTACCCTGATACCAAAGTCAAAGACACTACAAGAAAACTAGAGACCAGTATCTCTTATGAATACAGACATAAACACCTCAACAAAATATTAGCAAATTAAATTCAGCATTATAATAAAAGGATCATACACCATAACCATGTAGGATTTATCCCAGAATTGTAAGGGAGGTTCAATATACAAAAATTAACCAATAATAATATACAACATTAATAACGTGAAGGGGAAAAAACTGCAAGATGTTATATAAGTGAGCCAGAATAAATTTAACCAAAGATGCAAAAGACTTCTACAATGAAAACTATAAAACACTAATGAAAGAAATTAAAGACATAAATAAATGGAAAGATGACATAATATTAAGATATAAAAATTCAATGAAATCCCTATCAAAATCCCAATAGATTTTTTTTTTTTTTGCAGAAACAGAAAAACTGCCCTAAAATTCATATGAAAATTCAAGGGATCCACAATATCCAAAATAATCTTGAAAAGGATAGAAGGTGGAAGACTTACACTTACCAATTTCAAAACTTTCTACAAAGCTACATTAATCAAAACAGTGTGGTACTAGCATAAAGATATACATGTAAACCAATAGAAGAGAATTCAGAGCCCAGAAATAAACCCTCATATTTATTATCAACTGATTTTTGACATGGGGGCCAATACTATTCAATGGAGAAAGGACAGTCTTTAATAAATGGTGCTGAGAAAACTGAATACTCACATGTAAAAGGATGAAGCTGGACTCAACTTATATTTACAAAAATTAATTCAAAATGCATCAAGACCTAAATTTAAGAGTTAAAACTATAAAAATCTTTGAAGAAAAAATAAGTGAAAATCTGCATAACTTGGATATGGCAATAGTTTCTTAAATGACACCAAAAGCAGTCAACAAAAGAAAAAAATAGATAAACTGGACTTTATTAAATTAAAAACTTTTGTGTATCAAAGAACATCTATGAAGAGAGTGAAAAGACAACCCGAAGAATGGGAAAAAAATGTGCAAATCATGTATCTGGTAAGGGTTTGATACCTGAAATCTATGAACTCCTACGACTCGACAACAAAAAGATAATCTAATTTCAAAATGGGCATAGGACTTGAATAGACATTTCTCTAAAGATTTACAAATGACCAATAAGCACAGGATAATATGCTCAACATCATTAGTCATTAAAGAAATGCAAATTAACCCAAAATGTGATACTACTTTCCACCTACTATGTGAATGTATAATAAAAAATAAACAGTAAAAAGCATTGGTGACGATGTGGAGAAATTAGAACCCTTATGCTTTGGTGGTGGGAATGTAAAATGGTGCAACCACATGGAAAGTTTGCTGGTTCCTCAAAAAGTTAAGCACAGAATATGACCCAGCAATTCCACTCCTAGGTATATATCCAAAGGAACTCAAAACACAGACTCAGATATTTATACACCCATGTTCAGAGCAATATTATTCACAATCAAAAGGTTGAAACTGCCCAAGTGTCCATCAACAGATGAATGTGTGTACATATACACACATGGTATCATTCAGCCATAAAAAGGAATGAAGTTCTGATCAAAGCTACAACATGAATAAATCTTAAAAATATTATGCTAAATAAAATAAACCAGACACATAAGGATAAATATTGCATGATTCCACTTCATGCAATTATCTAGAATGGGAAAACTCAGAGAGAAAGTAGAATAGAGGTTACCAGGGGTTAGGGGGAGGGACTAGTGGGGAGTTACTGCTTAATGGGTATAAAGTTTCTGTTCGGGGTGATGAAAAAATTTAGAAATAAATGCCACTGAACTGCACACTTGAAAATGCTTAAAATGGCTACCTATTTATATCTATATCCACACATACAATTTATTTCTCAGAGCAGATTTTGAGACATCATCACAGTCAAGAATTGCCCAAGGATATGTGACAACTAAGTGCAGTATGACACTGGATGGGATGCTGGGGCAGAAAGAGGACATTAATGGAAAAACTGGTGAAATCTAAATAAAGTCTGGAGTTTAGTTATTAGTAATGTACCAAGTAGGTTTCTTAGTTATGACAAAGGTTCCATGGTGATATACGATGTTAACAATGGGAGGAAACTGGTTGAGGGTCACATGGAAGTTCTCTGTACTATCCTTGTAGCTTTTCCACAAATCTAAAATTAGTCCAAAATAAACGTTTACTGAAAAAGAAAAAAAGACATCACAAATGGTTTACCTTCTTTATTCCACTATGCATAATTTTTTTGCAGGATCAGAAAACATCTGTTGCAAGGGTGTGCTACCCAGTCTCTTAAGGCAGGTCTCCGTTCCTAAATATAGAGGTGTAGTCTGGATTCATTTTAAGAAATGGGAAATTCTTAAGACATGACAAGGACGTGAAGAAAGAACACCGATACACTCTACTCTAGGACAAAACGAAATCAGGACCCGTCTGGAATCACGTACTGTGGTCTGACATAGATGTCTCTAACATCATGTCACTTTCATTCATTTCAATTTCAAAGGTTTCTTCCAAGGAAGGTCTGGAATCTGGAGTTTTCCTTGAGGTTTCCAGTGGTGCAAGCCCCGTTTCTTCTGTAGTCTGTTTTTCTACTTCAAATTCCCTGAAATCCCACGGAGGTGAAATAATGTTTTTTAGTGTCTTCATTGTATGCACATCAAAGTCATAACATTTTAATTTGTCTTTTATGTCTGCTCCTAAAAAGAAACACCATAATAAGAATAAAATAAGAAATTTCATCACTTATCTGTCATTTTTATTGTTACATAACACTGCCTCTATTATTAAAGCAAATGGTACTTTTAGGAGCACAAATATAGCTCTGAAGGAAAAAATGTTCCAATCATTTTCCATCTTTTTATTTTTATTATCAAGTAAGATTGCTGGGAAGACCTCTAGAAGCACATGGAGTTTCAGCTCCAGTGTGGCTCAATAGCCGCCCCATTCCAAAGCCCCTTAAATACTGATAGAAACCTGTAGGTAACTTTTTCTCAGCTGTTACAGACAAGAACTGCCTATTGGCATTTGGCATTGGTATAGTCACAAGTCTTATACACATAAATTCACAGTAAAGGGAAATATATTTTCCACATATTAAAATCTTAGGAATAACAAGACTTTCAAGAGATATGTTAGGTTTGATCATTTCTGACATGAACAAAATGACAATTTTACACAATTCAAACTAAAAGCTTTCAGTAATGTTTTGACAGATAATGACATATAAGCCTTCTAAAAATAAAAATAGTACAGCATGGTGACTGTAGTTAATAATATCATATTGCATATTTGAAAGGTGCTAAGAGAGTAGACCTTAAGAGTTCTCATCACAAGAAAATATTTTCTATGTATGGTGATGAATGTTAGCTAGACTTATTGTGGTGTTCATTCTGCAATACACACAAATATCAAATCATTATGTTGTATACCTGAAACTAATGTTATATGTCAAGTACACCTCAATAAAATAAAAAGTAGTGTGTAATGAATGACACACTTAGAAATCTCCCCTGTAAGACCATTACCTTTGTGAGAACAAGCAAAATGTCTGTCCCACTCAGCATTATATCTCTAGACTTTAATATAGGAAAATTCTGCATTTAATCTCCACAACTTCTCCTTGAATAAATGAGGAAACTGAAGCTGGAATTGCCCCAAAGCCACATAGCTGAGTGGCAGAGCTGAGATTTCAACCAAGGGTCTTCAGGATGCCAGAGCTCAAGCTTCTTTTTTTGTTTCTTACCTTTTAAAAATTGAGCCACAACCTACAAATTATAAAGCGTACACAAGCTGCATGAATTCTCACATACATATACATTAACATAACTACCACCAGACCAAAACAGAACATTTTCAGCTCCTAAAAAGCCACCCCACTCAGCCATAAAGAGATGAAAGATTGCCATTTGTGATAACATGGACGGACCTCAAGACAATCATGCTAAGCGAAATAAGCCAGACAGAAAAAGTTGAAAATCACATCATATCACTTATATGTGGGATATAAATCTAAAAGCAACAAATGAACGGGACAAACAAACAGAGACTCATGGACATGGACTATAGACTAGTAGTTACCAAAGGGGGTAGAGGGAGATGGGAGTGGGGTGGTGTACTGGGTAAAGGGGGTCAAATATGTGGTGACAGAAAGAAGTCTAACTATGAGAGGTGAATACACAGTGTAAATATATATACACCTTACTGTTAAAGTGTACAGCTGAAACTTATCGGATTTCGTTAACCAGTGTCACCATAAAAAATTAATTTAAAAATAAACAAATAAATAAAAAGCCACCCCATTCCCATTCTAGTGAATACTTACCTTTTCCAAGCCAGAAGTAATCGCTGCTGATTTTTCTATCACTACTGATTAGTTTTGCTTTTTATTAATCTTTGTATAGATGGAATTAATCAGTCCATTTTTTTTGGTCAAAATTTGTGACATTTCATTTATGTTACAATATAATTCAGTAGTTAGTCCTTTTAGTTGTGTAGTATTCTACTGTATGAGTATACCACAATTTATTTCTCCATTCTACTATTAGTGGACATTCAGTTATTTCCAGTTAGGTGCTATTATGAATAAAGCTCCTATGAATAATCTTGTGTGTGAACTCTGACTTACTGAGGCACTTGTTTCTGTTGGGCATATACCTGGAAGAACTGCTACATCATAAGCTCAGTTTAGATTACTGCCCGAATAGTCCCAATGAATCATACCTCCCAGCACAATGCCCTTGAATAACCCCTTCTCATGTTGACTCTGCACATAATCACATGACTTGTTTTGATGAACAGAATGTGATGGAAAGGATTTTATGCAACTTCCAGCTTTCAAGAGGTCTTGAAGCTTTAGTTCTTGTCATTTAGAGCCCTGCAACCACCACACTATGAAGAAGCCTGGGATAAAAGACCTATGGAGAGGCCTAGCTGTGTCAGCTGAGGTCCCCACTTGTGTAAGAGGACATCTTAGACCATCAGGCCCACCAAGTGTCTGCTAACCACAGCTATAGATGTAAATGAGACCAGCAAATGAGCCAACAATCACTCACAGAACTATGAAAAATAATACATCTTTGTGGGTTGGTTAGGCAGCAACAGATAACTGATATAATATGCCTGTTTAACTTTTGTAGATATATTGAACAGTTTTCCAAAGAAGTTTTATAACCTCACCGATAATAATACATGAAAGTTCCAGCTGCTCCGTATCACTGTCAACAGTAGGCACTATTAGTGTTTTTAATTTTTAGCCATCCTGACAAGATGTATAGTGGTATCTCATTATGGTTTTAAATTCATATCCCTAATAAGTAATGATATTAAGCACCTTAATTTGCTTTGTAACTATCTGGATATCCTCTTTGATGAAGCTCCTGTTCAAGTATTTTGTCTATTTTTTAATTGAAATTTTTCTTACTGATTTGTAGGAGTTTTTGTATTATAGACACAGGTCTATATGTTTTTGTATTATAGACACTCGTCTTCGACAAGTCTATATGTTGTCAGTAACTACAACATGCTTTTTTGATGAATAGTTCTTAATTTTATTGAAACCCAATATAACATTTTTTTCCCCCTGTGGTTTTATGTCCTGTTACAGAGCTCTGCCAACTCCAAAGTCCAGATCTCAAGATTTAACCTCACTGCACCCTCTTTATCTTATAATATTTATAAATAAATGAGTGTTCAAGTATAGCAATTCCATCCAAACTTGTCTTATGACTTGCTTACCATTTAAAAAAATTCAAAGAATTAGAGTACCATAATGTGAATGGAAGCCAACTTATTCCACTGAAATGTAAAGATTTATAAGCTATGTCCTACATTATTAAGGCCCATTATTAAGGATTTTTCCACTATGCAATTAGATGATTCTTGTATATCACAGTGCTTTTCACAAATTCTATCACAGTATTTTGCATAGAGCAAGTATTCAACTTTAAGCTGAATATTTAATGAGTCATTAATCCCCACAGCATTGTCCCAACAAAATAAATGGAACTTCTTATATTAATGTAGTTAGAATGGTTAAAAAGATAAACTTAGAACCTTACATACTGAACAGAAATACAACAATCTAAAAAATGGAATATAATGTTAATAAGAATAATTATAATCTTACCAATATAAGCTTCAGAATCACCAATGTACATTTCAATGCAATGACCAAGCATTGTAACAGAGAATGTATCATCTCGCCTAAGACCAAGGGCCTGCCAGAAAAGATTCAGCATGGTTATTATAATAAAATGTATTTTTTTTCTCTTTTGTTTAAAAATATTCCTGCAAAATATACTCCAGGGAATCCAGGATGGAAGTAGAGGGAGGTGGTTAATGGGGATACAGCTAAAACAAGAGTGGCCATTGAAGGTGGGCAATGGGTACATGGAGGGTCATTACACTATTTTATTTTTTGTTTAAAATTCCTCTTCTCCAAAAAGCTTTTAAAAACTGTATCTCCACTTAGAGCCCTCTAAGCTTCCGTATTAAATCACAGACAATAAATTATACAGTATTCAAATATACATATTTGAAAGGTCACATAAACAAGAAAACTTGCTTAGTCCACACTTCTGACTATCTCAGTATTCTGGTTATCAGTGGGTCCTTCAGGACATCATCTTGCCTAAAAATCTCTAGCCATCTCTTGAAAATCAGTTATGAATCTATCACTCATGAATTTATCTTTGGGAAAACAAGAATATGGACCACCTGGTAAAAAAGTGATTTAGAAGAAACAAACTCTGAATGTGAAGAATTGAATACCTTATTTATTTAACTTACATTTTCATGTTCATGTAGGTACTAGAGTGATCCCTGAAAAAAATCTAATCCTAATATGTCCAAAACAACACGTTTTTTTAAAGACAAAAAAAACTAAATGATAGTAAATATAGAGGACAATCTGGTGATGGCCAGAGGGGAGGGAGATGGGGGGGCCTGGGAGAAAGCGGTGAAAAGTTAAAAAAGTACAAATTGACAGTTGCTAGATGGTCGCAGGAATGGGGAGCATGGCATAGGGAATGCAGTTAGCAGTACTGCAATGGCTAGATGGAGAGCCAGAGGGAAGATAGAGTAATCAGAGGGATCATTTCATAAACTATATAAATACCTGACCAATGTACTATATACTTGAAACTAATAATAAAACAAAATTTTTGAAAACCTAAGTGATAGGAAAGAATTATGTTAAAGTTTAAATAGCAGTGATTTTTTTTGTTTTGTTTTGTTTTTTTGTGGTCATCTTGCTTATTAATGGTGGCTTAGATTTGACAAAATACAGAGTATGGATTAAAAAGAGACTTTTCTTGTAATGAAAGCAGATTGTTTTTCTTCATTTATTAAAGTGACTTAAGTAAATTAATTCTACGTCATAAATAGAAAGACTGGAATTCCCAAAGGGCTCTCATTGTGCAACATAAATTTCTATATTTCCCACCTAGACATAAGGACTGGGCTGACAAACATCACCACACACATTTTCAGCTTGGCCTGCTTGCACTGCATTATTTTACATATCTCACATACAAGTCTCACATTGGTTTCTAATTCACAACATTGAAATGCTTTTACTTGTACAGAAAATAATATAATACAAGGCTGCCTGAAGAATTTTAAAACGGTAAAGTAACAAAACATTGCCTAGAAAAGATCTTTTTAAAAAAGAAATGTTAAATGTCAACCAGATTTAAAGTTACAGAAAACAAAAGACGTACTGTGTGGAAATAGTCCACAGCATTTTCAAAGTTGCCCATCAGACTATGGATATACCCTATGGCAGAATAGGTGGATGCATTTTGAGGAATTAACACCAATGCCTGACGGTGATAATCCAATGCCTCAGCATACTTTCTGTGAGAAGATGAGAGGAAATGGGTGGAGAGGAGAATGGGAAGAAAGAGAAAACAATTAGTGGGTACAGTACTAAATTCCTAAGTTTAAGGTGAATATCAATCTATGTAAAAACATTAACATTTCCCTATATCAAAACAACAACTGAGACTAGTAATGGTCCTTCATATCCACTTTTGTTTATTGTAACACCTCCTTGAAATTTATTTTCCTGCTTTGCTCACTCAGCCGGCTGAGGGTACTCCTGCAGCAATATTAGCTATTGCTAGTATTCCTTTTGATGTTTGGCAGGAGACTGGAACTAGAACCTAATACTTGACTCTTGGGCCTATGCCCCATCACATGACAAGGCCTCTTTATGTGAAGTCAAACCACCTACACCATGGGTGGATAAAATCAAGAGTTTTGCTTTAAGGTCCAAAGGAGTTACTTGAAACAGCATTTCCCAAAGTTCTCTGGAATACTCTCCCTGTAAAATTTTGTATGAAAAAAAGGTTTTGTTCTCAATAAAGTTTGGAAAATTCTATAGTTCATAATGTGCAGTAAAGACTCCAAGAAATTACGAAATAGAAAAAGCTGTTAAATTTTGAGTAACCTAAAGTTTCCCAAACTTATTTAACCAGAGAATCTATTTTTCAACTGTCATCTATTTATTATACCATAAAACTGGTATCTAGAGGAAAACAGTGAGTTAGAATATAGACGTGGTTTTAATTAGATCCTACTGTCCTAATACTTCTAAATTAATTTTTAATATTAAAAAATTTTAATATAAGAAAATAAATTATAATTCTCAATATGTTACTAAAATAACATTATATCAAGGGATAATAAAAACAATTATTTTTATGCTTGTTATCCCTGAGCAGCCAAGTGCAAGAGAGATAAAGGCTCTCATAAAATAAAAATATAGAAAAGGCTACACAAAATCAAGTAAACTTGTCACAAAGAGTATTTCTGAAAATGCTCTACTTCACTTACTTAAGTTTTCTGCAGACATGCCCCAAGTTGTTCAACAGAGGTTCCCATTTGTCAACAGTTACCTGAAACACAGCAACATCAAATCCTTGATTTACCTACGTCACTTTTCAGCTTGGCCTGCTTGCACTGCATTATTTTACATATCTATGCAAGTCAGGCTTTCTCCTGGTGCCTGCACAACACTAAGCAAGTTTTTTTCATTTGTTGGTTTTTTCATTTTTCTTTCTTACTAGATGATACTTTCTGAGGATGCTATTATTTTATTTGCGCCATTTTGTCAAAGAGCCCAACTATGCTGAAGTTCAAATTTTTTATCTGTCCCAGAGCTTTCCATCTACCTACTAAATATTTCTACTTAGAAATCTCACAAGCACTTCAAATTCAATATGCCATGTGCTAAACTCTTATCCTCTCTCTCCTGCCATCCCAGCTTCCTAACCTCACTTCCTTCTGATTACCTTGCCACTCTGTACATGGCATCCATGTCATCTCTGCCCGCTCCAGGAATCACCAAGGCTTGTTTATCAGCCTCCTCGGCGTAACTCCAGCCTCCTATTAACAAGTCTTGTCTGGGCTCCAATCAGACAAGTCAGACCATGCTGCTCTTCTTAAACTTTTGTTGTCCCACAAACTCTAACATCATCTTCAAGGCCCTTAATGATCCACATTTAACCTTCCTATCCCATTTCTTGATATTTTCTATGAACTCGAAATTCAAGCCATACTGAATTAGCTCCAACTTTGCACATATTGTTCTCTATACCTAAAATGCCCTTTTCCTCACTTTTGCTTGGTTAACACTGATCATCTTTTAGGACTGAGATGTCTAACATTGTATCCAAAAGGGTTTCTTGACCCACCCCAAGTATGGGTTAACTGCCCCTCTATGTGGATTCCCTTATTTCCTCAATTACAGCTCTTTCTATGTACTGTATTATTACTGCGAATTTACTTATCTGCATTCCCCAATAAATTTGAGGGCAGGAAATATCAAACCAATTCCCTATTGCCTCCCAATGCCTAACTCAGAAATTATGACACAGTCGACATGCTTTAAATAAGTCTCAACTAAATGAATAAACAGACCTAAGTCACACTGTAACTCTCCTGAGTCTGGCTCTAGGAGGCACAGCCCATGGGAATAAGAACAACTCCTTTATGACTCTTAGGCATGACTTTTCCTGTGACTATTTTGACATTTGCTGCAGTTGATAACTAAAGTCAAACAATATTTTTCCCTCTTCACATAACTTTTTAATGGGCATTTTGATGGTTTTATATTATTGTGCTTTTGAACTTAAAATCATTAAATTTTTATAAGATTCCCAAAGTGCTCTGATCATCAAAGAATACAATTTCAATTTTAAGTGTCATTTGTGACAGTGCATCTCAAACTTTTCTGTGCATGGGAATCACCTAGGGATCTTGCTAAGACTGCAGATTTCAATTCAGCAGATCTGAGATTCCACACTTCTAACAAGCTGATGCGACTAGTCTAGTTTGAGTAGCAAGGTCCTAAGGCAGAGGACCCTAACCCCTGGGCCACAGACAGGTACCAGCCATGCACAGCAGGAGGTGAGTGGTGGGTGAATGGAACAAAGCTTCATCTGTATTTGCAGCCACTCCCCAGTGCTAGCATCACCGCCTCAGCTCCGCCTCAGCTCTGTCTCAGCTCCATCTCAGATCATCAGGCATTAGATTCTCATAGGAACACTGGTCCCTGGGGCCAAAAAGGTTGGGGACAGCTGTCCTAAGGCATTCAATTCTTTGAAAACTGGCAAAGTGATAGATAAGTGGCAACCGTATATTAACAAAAACACATGTATTATCCAGACTATCCAAGACAGAGCTGTGGAAGAACCTCTGTGTTGTGTGTGTGTGTGTGTGTGTGTGTGTATGTGTGTATTTCTGTGTAAACACACAGAATTTCTGTGTGTTTACACAGAAATACAGTGTTTTTAAGTTCATAACAAAAAAGAAGAGGCACAAAGTAAATAAAACTCTGACTATGGGGACAGGTGGACTGCCACCTGGCCGGGAGCCCAAGTCAGCGATGTCTTCTCAGTAAAGAGGAACTAACAGCCAAAGAAGATGTGAGCTGTGGGCAGATATGCCCAAACAGGAACAGAATGAAACTGGGAAGTGACAATCAGAACAAATTAAAACAAAACAGGTATATATAAAAAGAATCAGGAACCAGAAGAGTAGCAACATGCAAATCCCTTACCTACAAAAGTTTACAATATCTAAAACTGTTATTTTAAAATAATACCAATGTATACACATCCATGCTAGCTGGACAATTAACTCATGAGCACAAAGTCATGGGGTACATCTTTCGTCTAATAGAACTTTGTTAAATATTTCAAATACTGTAAGGTCTAAATGTATACTAAGTATAGGTAAGGAAGAGGAATAATAAATCTAAATTTCAATAACAACTAGCCCTATTTCTGCAAAAGTGGGATCTGCTGCTATATTTATTCATTAATTGAAGATAAGGTTCTTTTGGGTTCTAGAGGACATACTCTGTTAGATGCTACAGTGCCCACCAGTTTCGACTAACCATCACATATTCTCTGTATTAAATTATCATCAAATATATTCTAATTACCCCCACATATTAAAACAAGAGCCTCTTAAGAAGCAGCCAACATCTGTCCTCTCAATTAGAAACAAACTCCTTATGTACCATATAATAAAACACTTAATTGCCCAACAATTCAAACATTAACAAGCCGTTTGTTATGATATTAGGTTATTATATAATAAACATTAGGTTATTCTAGGCAAGACAGATTTTTTTTTGTCTATATTATTTTCCTCATTCAATAGTAAATACACTTAGGATTGTAATGTTGTGTATTTACAGATATTACATAAAATACCTCATTCCCAATTGCTTTAATTTTTTCCAAAGCATCAAGAAACCATTTTTCTGCTGTTTTCCATCTAAAATAGAAGAAAAAAAGGTTGTAGGTTATTCAAAATTAGGAAGTATAAAGAAAAATTTAAATCTTTCTAGTAATACTAAAATGAAATGAGGTAGATTTCTATAGTTTATTACAATCAACTTTAAGAGACGATAAATGATTAATTTTATGTTATTAACATCACAGGAGTTCAAGATTTTAGCAGATACAGTCAATTGTCATTATTCTCATTCTCGGTAAGTATGTTCTATAAAGTCACTGTGAACATTGCTTTCGTGAGTACTGAACCACTGCTCTCTGTGGAAATACAGGGTTAAATTCCTACAAACATCCGGTCATGTTTTTTCATCAACTGTTCAACTTATAATCGGTTTTATATAAGCTCCTGTTTAATGATGCCTAATTTAACATACATTGTTGATTCATTAACACTGAACTAATGGCACTGTACCTCATGCCTTAACAAAGCATATCTAACAAATGTGTTTTCTCCAAGGCACAACACAGCCTTCCTGTGCTTAAGAACACTAGACAGCATTTCAACACTACATTTGGGGATCATTTTAAATAATGAAATCATCAATTAGAAGCACAAAAATGTGGCACAAAATAGACTGTAAAAAGAACACTTGTTTACAGTAGGAGAGGAGAAATAAGAAGGCAGAATATCACTTGTTTGACCTTAGCTGGGAACATGTATGTTGTGTGTGTAGGCGAAAGCACCTTAATTGACATTGGGGTTAAAAATAAATTAACTGTATGTTAAATTATTACATTATTTTTTAAAAAGCTCCAAACTTTCTTTTATAAATAATAAATAACCCAATTTTTAGAACACACACACACAGGCCACAACAAACCACAACAGCAGTACTAATTTACTATTTTAAATTTATGTATAATTTAGGGCAAAGGACTGTAGATATTTTTCTGTTTGAGTATGACACTGAATTACTTATTCTATAAGTATCTCAGGCTATAGTAACACCTCAATTAACCAGGAAACTCAGATTGAGCCATTCTTATTAGTCTAATTTTCAAATTAACTGGTAACTAAACAGAAAACATTTTTGTTTCAAAATTGTGGAAAATCTTTCTCAAATGTATAAATCCAACTCCTAATCAACAAGGAGACAGACGACTGAGGATTCTGCAGTGCCTCCAACTATTTCATGGGGTTCAGTGAGTTTACAGAGTTGGCAACAACTGTCTAGTCTTGGAACACAAGACTTGTGATAGCCCACATCAAAGGGATCAAAACTCAGGGTTTTTTATTTTTAAAGAAAGCCAAGCTAACACTTTCTATTTCCTTTTTCACTGTCCACCACCTTCTCCAAAAATAGCACACATTTAAAAATAAAAATCTACTCAACAGTCATTCTGATCAGTTAAAATTCTCGTGATTGAGATTTTATTCTAGTTATAAAAAGGAAACAGAAGGGCTTTTGGCCTTTCAGTACTTACTCTCCATTCTGAAATGCAACCACGCCAACCTCATGCATTACAAAAGGATCTTCTGGTGCAATGCTTAGAGCTTGGCCAAAGAATCTTTCAGCCAATTTTGAGTTATTGGTCAATCCATATTCTAATCCAATATACAGCATTGGTAAATGACACCTAAAAATATTGAAAAATTTCACTTGTTCAATACCAAAAACTTTATAATTCAGCAGAAATTAATCTATTGACTTCAAATACTGCCTGCAAAATAATATAAACATGGCCCAAAACAGAGTATTTACTTTTTTCCTAATATTTCACTTAATGTTGAATGGGCTTTTAGACTCGTCAGTTGCCACTTCTAAAATTTATCAGCAACCCATTTACCTTTATTTTTCATTATTAAACAGTAAAAAACAAAAATAAAAATCTTCTAAAGCAGAAAGGCAGGTCTATGCACACTAACGTTATGCCTCTAGCTTAGACTGTCTTCTTCCTTCTTTTATTGATTCAGAACCATTTATCCTTCATAACTGTGTATAAGTTTCACTTCCCTTTATGAAGCTGCTTCTGACTTTCTAACCTAAATCCTTGTGTGGATTCCCATTATATCAGTTATTACCAGTTCTACACCAGACCTCTGAATTACATCATGTATATTCCATTTTCATATACTGAGACAGTTCTCTGGACAAAGTACTAATCACCTTTTAATTCACACTGTCAGACCTGTGATTAAATACACTTCAAAGATAATCTTTCTTTGAAGATGGATGTAAGAACATCAGTAAATACCGACTGACTGGTTGGTATGTGCTTTGGTTCTAATCTAGAATCATGATTCAAGATTCTACCTTCTACAGAAGGGTCGCAAAGAACCCTTTAAAAGTATTTACCTGGAGGAAGTACTTTCGAAATGGCAGAGTAAGGACCTCCAAAAATCCATTCCTCCATAAAAGCAACAAGAACACTGCCAAAAATTATCAAAATAAATGTTTTCAGAACTTTGGAAGTTAACCAAAGTTTACAACAATCTAAGGAGTGCTTATTCTAGAAAAACAGCTGAGTCTCAGTAAGAACTGCAAACTTTGTGATGCTTTAACTTGTCCTACTCCCAGCTCCCTCTCCCCAGGTCCATACCCTAGAAAACCAGAAATTTGCTGTCATACCCTTTCATCAGCTGTGCTGCTGTGAAGTAGGCAGCCATTGCTTGGTCATGTTCACTCTCAACTGCAAACGAATGCCCATATGCTATCCATGCAGGCCCGTAGGTCTTCTCAAGCGTTGTAGCTTTACTAAACAAGAGATTTCCTTCGATTAATATAATATTTATTCTTAAGCTGTTAATTTTATGTAAGCTGATGACTTCGAGGATGTTCAAATTAAATCAATCAACGAGCTGAACTGTCAACATATTAAACACTAATGTAAGATTTGTGTTAATTTATTTGAAATTAATGTTTAATAGTACAATCAAAATTTTAAGAAATATTAGGAGAGGTCCACAATCTTATAGGCACTATTATTGAACCCATTATCATTCTGCATAGAATTTATAAATATTACTTAATCCAGGAGGTTTATTTCGCAACTTTGTTGATAAATGGTGGTAGCAGCAGTCATTTAATGAAGGCCTGTTTTGTGCCAGGTACCATGTTAGATGCCTTATATATTATATCTAATCCTGTAACTTGAAAGATAAATTAGTTAAATTTTAAATATAGGTATATTGAGGCTCAAAAGATTAAGCGAGACCCTAGAGATGGTGCTAAGATATTCACCCTGGTTCCATGAACTGGACTACATGGTTTATTTAAATAGTCAAACAGTCTTCAATCAGTGGCCCACTGATGACCCACAACAAGGAACAAAGAGAACATATTACAAAACATGGAAAATATAAAGGGTGAAATCCATACTTCCTAGCATTTTATTTTCTAAGTTTTTCACCCAAATGTTCCCTGTTTCATGTGGAGTCCATCACTGAAAAAGCAGACTAAATCAAAGCAGCATAGCTCAAAGCACTACTCCAACACAAATCATCTTCCTACTCCAGGAAAAAAGCACATGCAAGGTTTCCAAAGTGCTTAATACCAGAGCACTCTCCCTATTTTCTTCCCAGTACAGGATCCTTTCGTGTCAACTTATCAATTTTACTAAAAATCCTGGGATCCAAGTATTACATCCCATTTTTAGAGAAAATTAAATGGAAACATTAACTTTCCCAAGGAATTACCACTAGTAAGTGACAGAACTTGGATTTGGCTTCAAGTCTGTACCCAAAGTTCATGCGCTTTTGTTTGCATGGAAGAAATCACAAGTATCATTAAATTTTAAATCTTTAGTAATTAAGTCTTCATATAGTAAACATTTTCCTGCACTTGAACTGAATAATACTGGTTAAGTAGTTTGATTGGGCTGCATGGAATTCCTTAAATTAAAACCACAGTAGTTTACTATACCAAAAATTCTGTTTTAAAGTCATAATTAATGACCCCTAATGTCATGTAAAGTTTTATTTAATTTCACTATTAACAAAAGTCCTAAAAGTGAAAGGTTAATAGTATCTCTGTAAATAAAAAACAGAACCTTTCAAACTACTTTCTACTGTTCTCTATTGTTTCATACTTCTCATTTATAAATAAAAATTTAAATATATTATAAGCTCCTCAAGACAAGATCTACACCACTGATTACTTCTGTCTCCTCTCATGACATCTTATAAAGAGCAAGGTACATAATTGAGGCAACTGAACTGAATCTGTCAAAGAAAACATTTATTCTTTTACACAGCTTTTAAAGTAATATTTATTGTATTAAAGCAGATGAGCAAGAAATCTCTTCGTATAGATTCACCATAAAGGGAAGAAGATAATAAATTCATACCTGAGATATCTTCTGGCATGTTCATTCTTATGACCAACCATGAGATAATAGCATCCCACTGCAAACCAAGATACCTACAAAGTTCAAAATTTACCATGACCAAAGATGCTAAACTTTGAATTAGAAGTCTCTAACAAATTAGGTCAGAGGATGGACTAAATGTTCCACCCCATATTCTAGTTCAAGTTAGAAATTTCTCTGAGACAGGCTATCTACTAAGGGTCCTGGATGAAAAGAGGACAGATTCTCCACAGCTATTCCTGAAGATGCCTTCAATCATGTCCCTGCATCATTCAACACAAGATGAGGCTCCTAAACACGTCCTATTGCAAATCCAGCCTGAGTCCTAGCCTCCCGCCTGTAACGTGTGTCTTCCCTGGCTCTACCCTGGTTCTACCAGATTCTACATCACTAGCTGACTTCTTCTGCACTGGTTTTGCCTCTATATTTTCACGCTGATCTAGGATGCAGATTCTCTACTCAGACGTAGACCCTGATTCTTGACTTTTGTCTTTAAGGACACAGTTCCTGATTCCATTTTCTATTTCTAGGTCTTAGTTCTGATCTGTGGCAGTTTGGAAGACACGATGACTCAATGGGTGCACAATTTAATGTTATCTTACCAAGTAAATATTACCAAGTAATTATTAGCATTGCTTATCAGAGGTGAGAGTGTGATTTTTACTTTCAATATTTTTTATTTATCTTTATGTTGTGTTTTTAATAATGAGCACATACAATTTCTATAATCAGAAAAAAATGATGACTTTTGTTTTAAGTTATATTACATTAGACTGAAAAAAATACCTTCATAGATTGAGAAAGTTAATGCTACTTCTAGTTATCATAAGTACTAGGAAATTCTGTTCCTTAAAATAAGACCTTAAAATAAACATATTTGCTTAAACTTAAATATGGGCTACTGTCTAAATACTAGTAAAGCATTTTAAGTTCAAGTAAGAAAAAGCACTATAAAAAAGTTTATGTTTACTTACAGGATTACTAGGATATAAATCCACCAATTTATGAGAAAGATAGAAAAGTTCTACATTAAGGGAAAAGAAAAAGAGAATAAAATTATACACTGCAAATGAATTTTAAGATATGATTTTCCCCTAGTTACAACTCTTTGCAATCACATAAATTTTGTTTTGACAATTATTTCATACTTTTCTTTCTTTCTAGATACAAAATTCATTTACCAAATGAAATACAGAAACTCCAGGGGGCAGATACTATGGCTGTTTCATTCAAACCTCACCCTCCCAACTCCTTATCAGATGCCAGACCCATAAGTGGGCAATGAGCACTCACTGAGTGACTGGAAAATTGGATGAATAACACATGATAAAGCACTTTATGGTGCTTAAGAGATTATTTCAAAGCACCTCACCTATCTTAAAAAACCCATGTCTCTTACTCCATGGGCCTATCATGGACCATCTTAAGCCCCCAAAATCAGTTTGGTTAACCGAACTCTCAAGTTTATCAAATCAGCAAGATGATTTCCTCTTGAGTAATGAGTGAGACCTAGCATGTCACAAAGACTTTTCCTACATGCAGACTTAAATTCATTAGACCAGGGCAACCAGAGTGTCTGTATTGCCAACAAGCTGCCAGGAGGCATGATGCTGTTGGTCACATACCATACTTTGAGCAGCTGGGGTTTGGAGTTGGAGTGGCTGGCATTTTTTCCTTTTGACAGAGTTCATTAGTCGGTTTAAAAGATTTAAGGGCAATTACAGTCCAAACACAATTAAATATTTCCAAAATGTTAAAATATGGGAAACATAAGCAAAAAAATCTACCATCTTCCAACTTCTAAACAATTCTGACTCTTACCATATCATTCTGCTTATTGATTTTACAAAAAAAAAAAGAGAGAAAGAGAGAGAAAGCAAAATTGCCACCCATCACAAACCACAAATTACATTGGAGAAAGGGAAGCAGGAAGCAGGGATACAGAAATAGTATTCTGTTGGGGTAACAGGACAGACTATTGGCCACTTTGATAAGCATTTCTTCCCATAGTTTTTACTTTTACTGCAGAACTCCATTATGCCATTACTTGCAATCCCAATTATCCAGGATTTGTGAGACAAAATTTCGAGAGTTACAGAAAAATTTGTCTTAAAAATTATTGTTTTAATTTTTAAAAATTCTTACCATTTGCTTTATTCAGCTCCACAAGTGTCCCTATATGTACAGGTAAACAATTTGCATGAAAAGGATCTTTTTCCATTACTCTGAAAGTTAAAGCAACACATTAATACCCCGGAAACAGTATATAACAGAGCTCATTATAATTAATTATGTTTAAGTAGTCATTACAGCATTATATACAATATTGTGGCTTATAATACTTTAACCCTATTATCTTCAGGTTGGTTCAATTAAGGCAATAATTAGGTTATAAAAGAAAGGGAAAATTCTGATTTATTCAGAAGGAATAAAAATAAACAACATATACATTTACTTTATATCAATGGAACTGTCACATATAAGTAGTCCAATTGTTTAGAAGGATCAAAAACAATGTAAAATATAAAATAGATCACAAATATTTGTCAATTAAAATTTTTTTGAATTCAAGGATTTAAGCAACCCCAAAGATTTGTTAAAAATAGTACATGTAATTTAGCTAAAGGACAAGTTTGAGCTATGTACACTGGAAAACTGGTATGGGGAGATGGCATGGCTAGTTAGTGAGCCTAAGTACCCAACAGCTACAAGATTTTATTCGTCTCTACTTTAACAACAAAGAGATTTTATAAAACCATGTGCCAGAATAGTATTTTCAAACTTGCAGATTATCAAAGACTCAAATGAGGAACATGTATACTCTCAAGTTAATGGAATAACCCTACAAATGTGCATTAGCCTGTGTCTGTATATGCTCTCTTAAGATAGCGCCCCTTTGGTACTCTGCAAAATGGTAAAGGCAACTTAAATTATCATCAATTAGTTCAAAATTACTCAGAAAGCACGTCCCATGAATTTCTTAGGTGAAATGGACTGAATTTTACGTTCCTACACAAAAATGAGTGAGCATACTTACACAGATGTAAGCTTGTAGCACATTTTAAAATCACAGTTATAATAATGTCTTTCAGCTAAAGACACTACCACATCCAGATTTTCTTGCAAACCATCTACAGACTCCGGTAAGACAGTTTCACTAGGTTTATTATACTGAAACAGAAAGGTAAACAAATTCAATGAGCAATACCAAATCAAAAGGCAGACTCAAATTGACCCAAATGTTTAAAGAATTCACACAAAGATGTGTGTGAGTTTCTGGAAACTTTTTTAATTTCAAGACTCATCCATTCTCCTCTCAAGAAATTTCACTCTCTTCCCAATTTCATATCAGAATTCCATGACAGGAAGTATTTTACAAAGTAGAAGTTCAGGAAGCAAAAGAAAATCTTCATTTTCATGTAATATCATTACATTTACCTGACAGTTCAATCTTTCAGTAAAAAGAGTCCCTTGGAGGAAGACAGGTATTTTTGGAAATTTTTTAAGGAATCACATCATATATTTTAACTAATCTAAGTCTACTCTTGCAAATATGCTAAATTAATAAAAATTAATTTTTAAAAATTTAACTAGTAAAAGAATAAAGGCCAAACTGAATGAAATAAGATATTTACAGAAAGCAAATACTAACTTTATGCTTTTACTTACCTTTTTTAATTTGTTCTCAAATAGAAAACGTAGCAATTCCTGTTCTTCAGTACAGAGCTTGCTAAGAGGTAGTGATTCAAGAAGTTCTTTTTCTTAAAAACATTGAGGGAAAAAAATGTCCTCACAATATTTATAGGGGAAAAAAGTCAGCAATGAAAAATACTCTTTTACATTTAGTTCTTGGTCTAAGTAAATCAAACTCAAAAGAGAAAATAACATGATCAAAATGTGCTAGAGAAAACTTAGTGCTTCCAGACCCAGGTGATGAGAACCAACTGGAGGGCTGTGCCACAAAACCTTCCAGGCGAATTTTGGTCATCACCAAATTGATGGACCACAAGGCCAGTTTCCCAGTCTCAGCAATACTGACACTTTGTGTAGATTATTCTGTTGTGTTGGCTGTCCTATGCACTGCAGGGTGTTTAGCAGGATCTCTGGCCTCTATCCACTAGCAACAAGTAGCAACCTCCCACCCTGCCTCACCATACCCAAGTTGTGACAATCAAAAATGTCTCCAGATATTGCTTAATGTCCCCTAAGGGGCAAAATCACCCTGTTTGAGAACCAATGCACTAGGCTAAAATGTTTGAATCCTATTAATGCAACATCCCCGTTTTCTGTTTCTCTTGTTTATCCATCTCACATTGCTGCCAACGCACTAGGTCAATGGTTCTCAGCCCCCGTCATACCTTAGAATCATCTGGGAACTTTAAACCCTCTGATGCCAGGACCTCCCCACCGGAGATTCTGATTCAACTGGCCTGGAGATGGGACCTGCACACTAATGTTTTTAAAGTTCCTCGCGGATTTCAAGAGCAGCCGGGTTGAGAATCACTGAATCAGAAATCTTGGTTTATATTACCTCAAATCACTTCTCAAAAATATGGCCTCATCACATCACAATCCCTAAAGATTCTAACTATAAGAGGCACTGCACGATATTGTATTCTGCAATGTGCTTCATGTTTGAAGACATTAAGGAAGTGAATAGGTCTATTTAAACCTGTACGTGGCCTGCTGTTGATTCTGTAGACTTTAGAGAAAAATAAAACAACCCAAACAACATCAATTGTGTTAAACATAAAAACACCTGAGCATCCAAACCTTCTTGGGCTGTCAACATGTGATGTGATGTCAAAAGATCAAATGCTTCAAAACAGTAGATATCGAGCTTCAAAGCTTCTTTATAGCTGTAGGTAGCTAGGGTTCGGTTATCTAGAGCGTCATAGATTTTCCCACGTAAAAGACAAATAGAACTCTTTATCTGTTGGAAAAACACGAGCCACATACTAAGTCAATACTTTTAAAGTTAATTTTTGATCAAAAATTACATATTACCCAAAGGCTGAGACTATTTTTTACATCTAAAAGGATTTGTTCCATCCCAACTGTCAGACATAGTATAAACTAATAGAAACATGAAAGCAAATAAAACTTCTCTAATCTATCTTCCTTAGGTTCTCCTCACTTCAACAAATCTTTATAACTGGTGTACATGTCATTGCTTTGTTCATTACTCGTTCTGTCTCAAATATGGTAAGGATTTAGCAACGGCAAACAGCATACATTATATTAAATCAAACTTTAATACAGTTCAATAGGTAGATCGCAATGAAAGGATCTTAGTAAATATTAGAAAATTGGCAGCAATTTTCTAATGTAGAATAATGTAGCAATGTAGAATAATGGTTAGGAGCATGGCTTTCTGGAATTGGACAGACTTGAATTAAATCCCAGCTCTGACAATTATAGTGGCCTTGGACAAGTGATGTAACCTCTCTTGGCTTGTTTCTTTCCTCATTCAAGTTACAGGGCTCTGTGAGGAGTTGAGGTGATACTCTCTACAGAGCTAACGCATGAGAAACTGTTCACACAGTGGGCACTTCACCACTATCTTTAATAAAAAGATGTAAAAATTTGTCTGATCAGACTCTGAATCTCAAGAAACACATAACTGAGCTTAAAGATGATCGAAGATGGGTAGATAAATTGGTAAAGGGATACGAAGATTTATTATAAAATCACAATTTAAAAAATATTGGAGGACATTATGAGAGAATCCTGGACCTATGTACTATCCTATTAGTTATAAAAAAATTTCATAAAATAAAGAATAATTAACCACAAACAAATCATGTATTTTTTAGCAGATAAATTAATGGATAAGAAGTCCAAAAATAATAATAATACCATTATTCATCATAAATAAATTTCTTAGCAGAAAAATGAATGTGCACTTCTTAGCACATAAATTAGCAAAGTCCAAAAAACAAAAACATCAAAAGAAAATACCTAAAAATGTATAGTATCTCTACTTTTTTTAAGTGAAAAATATATTAACCAAGTTCCGTTATAAATATGTTATAAAGAATAACTGGGAATTGATGGGTGAAAGCTACACAGTACAGGGTTTCTTTCTAAAATAATAACAATGTTCTGAAATTGATTGTAGTGAGGGTTGTATGGCTCAGTGAATATACTAAAAGCCAACCATGTTACACTTTAAATGAATGAATTGCATGGCATGTGAATAATAGCTCAAGAAAGCTGTTAAAAAAAAAGAATAACAGTCCAGATTAGTAACCTGATTGTGGATATCATTTATTATTATATAATCTCTGTAAGAAATTTGCAATTCGATGCAGATATGAAATACACAAACTGAAATGTACAAAATATCATAAATAGTAACACCGAACCACTCCTTGGAAAGAAACAATCCAAGGGAAACAAGGTTTCTTAGGAGTAGGTACAAACACTATTGAAATACAGGAAGAAGGGTAAAGATGATTCTACCTGTGGGGTGTAGATAAGGAATCAAATATGAGAAGGAAGATCTCAAGCTAGTCTATTTCAGATTCAAGCACCTAAGGACATAATTACAGCTTCTGATTGATGGCTCAGAATGGTCTCAGAATCATTTTGGTTTTGGCGGCAAATTAAATAAGGTGGCAACCAAACTGTTTTAACATGATTATACTCAAGTAAAACAAAATGATTTATGTTTGCCATGTCAAGTGGCTAATTCTTACTGATTTTACTGAAGCATGCTTATTATATTATTACTTACTGAGGACTGTGACATTTCCCAGTCATTGGAGGGGTCTTTCAAGCCACTTTCATCCTTCAAGTATTTCTCAAACAATCTTTTGTTGATAGGCTCCTCCATATCAAGAATATCAAGAGCCTGCTGATGCTCTTTTGCTGCATACTATGTAGAAAACAGAAATACCATTCATTAGCCATTACCTCTTACACTAGACATACACAGAAATACTGTAGATTTTGAATATTATACCTACTCATTACTGAAATTTAAAATGTCTGAAGTCGAATTTTCTTCATGCATGTCAGCTTTTAGTAAATGGAGGATCAATATTTTATAGCAAATAATATCAAAAAAAATTTTTTCTCATAAGATACTAATTTGCCAAGCTTCATCATTAGAATTCTCAAACATATGTGAGGGATGTATAACATTCATACTAAACTTTTACCAAATAAAAATGAAACAGAGCATACTTACATGGCATCTAGCTGCAAGGTAGCGACATGATTCATACAACTAGAAAAGAAATAAATCTATTTAAAAAGTGGTCAAGACAATGTGCATCTTCACTCTGAAAGAAAACTATAAGGACAAAATGAAGAAAGCGATTGTCATATCTCCTTTTACTCTTGCAGAGAAAAGAAATCCAGTCTTTTCAACCCATATTTACCATAAACCTACTGTTTACTAGGCACCGAGGATTCAAAAAGGAGTAAGGACCTGCCCTCCAGGAGGTTATAGCACGGGAGACAAACACAGCACATAGTTTCTTTCAGACTATGAAAGAAGGGCATAAAAAGTACTAGACACTAAACTTATGATAGCCAGGTGGGAGAGGGCTTGGGGGACTGAGTGAAAAAGGTAAGAGATTAAGAAGTACAAATTGGTAGTTGAGAAATAGTCATGTGGATGTGAAGTACAGCATAAGGAATATAGTCAATAATATTGTGATATTGATGTACAGTGCCAGGTGGGTAATAAACTAATCAAGGAGATCGCTTTGTAAATTATATAAATGTCTAACCACTATGCTGTACACCTAAAACCTATATTAAAAAATTCTGAATGCCGACTCTACTTGAAGAAAAAAGTACTAGCCACTTGAAGAAAATATCTACAGGGGAAAGGATGAGTGAGGAGTTGGTCAGCACTCCTGGCACTGAATCAGAATAATCACCAGATGTCTAAGAAGTACAAGTAGTCAGCATAACTGGAGTACATGTTACATGTATTCATGGCAGGAGATGAGCAGTAGACTGGTGAGAAATCATAAAGGACTCTAGGTGTCTATTAATGCATCTGATTCTACCCTGTAGGTAATGAAAAATTACTGAGTGATTCTATGAGTGATATAATCAAATCTGTGTTTTAGAAAGACCTCCCCTGTGATAGTTTAAAAGGTGAAATGGAGACAGGGAAGGTGAGAGGGATGTTATGGAGAAAAGAGACAATAAGAGAGGTAAAAACAAAACAATACATTTAACGGTTTAAAATGTATTAGAGGTAATGAGATGAAAAGAAATATCTGTAATTTAAGAGCTATTTAGAAAACAGAACTTTCAAAACTAAATGACTGGGGACAGGGGACATCGAGGCTGAGATTAGGAATAAAAATTTTTCTCTTTACATTCAGTAAGAAAAATTTAATCCTTTTAAATAATTTTGACATAAATAAAACACACACCTAAAATACTAATGTAATGACATTTTTGAAAAGCTTTGAAACGTTTTAAAGTTCATACAATCACTTACTTTGTCCAGTTTTCGTGACCGAAGTGCATGAGCTGCTCTATGATATTGTGCTGTCAGGTAAAGACACTGAGCCAACCAATAAATGTCCTGGGGTTCCTCTGGAGGGAACAATTACATAAATGATCAGAGGTACAAGGCAAAATAGAAAGGAGAAATCAGAAAAAAAAAAATAGAATTTGTCACCTACCATGAGAAAGCGAAGCTACTTTATCTGCCCAAAATAGAGCACTCTGATATTGTTGCTGTATTAAAAAAAAAAAAAAAAGGTGGTAACTGCTCTGTTACTTCAAGTTTTAAACAGATATTTAATTATTAGAATTCTATATAGTAAGTCAACATCTCAATACAAGATCTCATATCTAGCTAGGTGAGTTTCATTTCAACGGTATAATATAAAACACTATTTTAAGATCTTTAGTAGAATAGTTCAAGAAGGTAGTTATTTTTTTTAAACTTAAACACTGCAAAGTGTACCAGCAGGCATAAAAACAGATACACAAATCAATGGAATAGAATAGAGAGCCCAGAAATAAATCCTTGCTTAAATGGTCAATTAATCAATAACAAAAGAGACAAGGATATACAATAAGGTAAAGATGGTCTCTTCAATAAGTGGTGCTAAGAAAACTGAACAGATACATGTAAAAAAATGAAATTGGACCACTTTCTTACACCATATACAAAAATAAAGCCAAAATGGATTAAAGATTTAAATGTAAGACCTGAAACCTTAAAACTCCTAGAAGAAAACTCTTTGACATCACTTTTTTTTTTATCCTTTAATTTCCAAAGCATGCTTACTCACATTTGACTGACATAATACATGAACATTCTTTACAACAGGCCAGGATATCTATGTTATCCCCATTATACAAAAACAGATGATAAAAAGTGTTGAGATTTCTTTGGCTCAAATCACAAGACTAAGTGTGTGTGCACATATATTTTAAATCCCTTTACTCCCATTCCATTCTTTTGACTAAAACGTATTCATTTATCTGCCCTTCTTCTTATATTCCCTTTGCTTATAAAAGGCATCACTAGTAACCCAGGCCAAATTTCCTCCTTCACCACACCCCACACCTCTAGTCATCAAGTGCTAACAAGACATCTTCCTAAATCTCTCTGAAATTGATCTCTTCTCCATTAGAGATCCCTTTTGCAAGTCCACTACTTCATAAGTCTAACACGTGAGTTTTTAATTGCTGTGCCGCAGTTTTCTCTTCTTCAGTCAGTGGTTTGCTTTTGTAGTTCTTGTATCATGGTCACAGACTTAATCGAAAGTAGCACAAATGTGGCTCTGAGTCTCTTTCTGCTCGACAGCAATTGGTTTAAAATGTGCATGCAAAGTTTAATGTTGAGGCTTTATTGTTGACAATTCCTTTAAGAGTGTAACTGGATTTTTCTCGCCTGCTGAATCAAGATAATTAGCCTTGATTTCATATTCCAGCCTGTACTGAATATAATCCAGATCAGTCAGCTTTCTGGAACATCAATTCCAGCACATCGATCTCCTCCTCCATGTTGAATAGCTGACATTCCTCCAACATCACTCTTAGCAATATCTTTTTGGGTATGTCTCAGGCAACAGCAACAAAAGGAAAAATAAATGGGAGTATATCAAACTAAAAAGTTTTTGTACAGTGACAGAAACTATTAAAATAAAAAGATGACTTACTGAATGGGAGAAGACAGTCACAAATGATACATCCAATAAAGGTTAATATCCAAAAAATATAAGGAACTCACAGAATTTACACAAACAATTCAATTAAAAAATGGGCAGGGGACTTGAATAGACGTTCCTCCCAAGAGGACAATACAGATGCCCAATAAACATATGAAAAGATGCTCAATACCATTAATCATCAGGGAAACGCAAATTAAAACAACAATGAGAGATCATCTCACATCTGTCAGAATGTCCATCATCAAAAAAATCAATAAACAACAAGTGCAGGTGAGGATGTAGAGAAGGCACCCCTCATACACTGTTGGGATTGTAAACGGATGTAGCCTCTACAGAAAAAAGTATGGAGAGTCCTCATAAAAATTAAAAATAGAACTGCCATTCGACTCAGCAATTCCACTTCTGGGTATTTACTAAAACAAAACAAAACAAAATACTACTTTGAAAAGATACATGCACTCCTATGTCCATTGCATTACTTATAATAGCCAAGATACAGAAGCAACCTAGGTGTCTATCACTAAATGAATGCATAAAGATATGGATGGACCTAGAGGATATGATGCTAAGTGAAGTAGTCAGAGAAAGACAAATATTGTATGATTTCACTTATAAATGAAATCTAAAAAAGCAAATGAATGGACAAAACAGAAACAGACCCACAGAGAACAAGATGATGGTTGCTAAAGGGAAGTGGGATAAGGGATGAGAAATATAAAGTTTTAAAATGAGAAAAAAAAATGTATTGGCAGGTATTTTAAAAAGTAGATAATTTAAAAGATTATTTTGCAATATCTAATCATTAGCAATGGTTCTATCTTTGCCTCGATTTTTCTATCTTTGCCTCAGTCCTCCTGAATGCAGACAAGGAATTCAGCTGCCACTTAGTCTGGGAGGCGGAATGCTTATGGGATGGACAAATCTGCTCAATGTTAAGTGTCCTAAGGGTGGAAACCAAGCTTCATTCTTCACTGCATCCCCAGTGCCAAAGAAAAAGTGCTCAAGAAGCATTTGCTCAATTCAACTCATTCACGGTAAACCAAAGTACAGCTCTCCAATGCACTGCAAATATTTGGCAGCATGATTTCACATCAAATTTTGAACACTGAACATGTTTTTAACTCCCTTTCTTGGTTTTCTATTTACTGGGAGAGCATATATTTTACTAAAATTAAGTGACATCATAGCTTAAACTGATCTGATTCTGTAGACACTTCTTTCCTTAAACTATTTGCTGAAGGGTACTGCAGGGAACGCAGATGTAGTTAATATGAATTTTTTAAAGTACTGATTTGAGACAACAGGCTTGTTTGTATCTTTACTCACTTAAATTCGGCCAAATAAGAATGAAAACTTGAAAATTTTCTATTGGCTAGCTAAATTCAAAGACCACCCTGCAACTTTCCTCTTAAAATAATCCTTCAACTTTCTTTCACTTAGCACTAAGTCTGTATTGAGCACTTACTGGGTGCCTAGGAGTTAGGCTGACTGCAGAGCTGGACATTGAGCACGTTTAAGGCTGACACTGTCTTAAGTGGCTTTCATTTTCAGTGCTCCTCCCGGCTGCAGAGAGGGCTGGGGGACTGGATCCCGCCCTTCAGGGCCTTTACCCTGGAACAAAAGCCCAGGCTCAGACGGGCCATGCACCACCAAGACCCTGATGACAGTTATCCTTACGGGCAAAGGGGTAACTCGCGAATCCTGTGGCTCGCGCTCCCCGGGGCGGGTTGCCCACCTGGTCCAGGTACTGCCGAACGCGCTTCCGCAGCCGCTCCAGGTTCATGGCCGCGCGGCCGGGGGTTCCGGCCGAGAGCCCTCCGCCGTCCCAGCGCGCGTCTTCCTTC